GATATTAAGTTTAAAGTTGACTCACCTACAATTTTTAATTGTGCATCACAATTTTTACCCAAATCATTTAATACAAGACAAGTACAATATGTAGCTTTAATATTAATACGATTAGATCTTTCTTTTATAACTTCAGTCACTCTTTCTAATTTAAAATATTTTTACACCCAGCTTTGGTTTTTTTGATCTATCTTTACGGTCTGGGATATCAGTTTCATTTTCTTCGCTTGCATTCTGGCTTTCTAGTATAAGACTGTCAGGTTGGTTAATAACTAGTTCATCAGATGATTAGACTGATAGAAAGTGGAAATCACCTTCTTTCATAATTTAAGTATAAAGCACGAGTTTGATCTTCTTGTTAAAAAAATAAGGCACAAGATCAAATGTATATATTGATAATATTTATTGCATTAAAGTTTAATAAAAATTTATAACATATAATATAATTAGATTAATCGATGACTATCGAAATATAGTACAAATGAAAACCGCTATTCTCACACAACAAAAGACTTTATATTTTTTTTACATAATTATAATTGTTGATATATATATCATTTTACTTGTTACTAATATTTTTTTTATTCTATATGAACTAGAAAAATAATAAAATCGTTATACTACAGTAAACCCTCTATAAGTGCATGCTCTTGAGACCAAACTTTAACAATGTGCATTTATAAAATAATAAAAAATACATTATCTATATAGTTGGGCCCAAATTTGATTGTGTATTTAAAGAGGGTGTGTACTTATAGAGGGTGCACTTATATAAGTTTTACTATATTTTATATTGAACTATTCTATTTTCTATAATATATAGAGTTTGTTAATTTTTAACTCAGCCTTATTTTTATAAGGGCAGCACATTAGAGTTGTATCAATAACATGTGGGACAACATCAATTCAAATATTTTGGGAAGTTTACCATATAGAATTAGATTGGCGTTCTCTCATCATATTAGAGATTGTTCAGAGTAGAATTTCTATTTAAAATATGTATAATAATACTCAAGTTGGCAACTTTCTTACTGAGTCCAATTTTAAGTATCATTGATGTATTCTGAGTGCTGTGGTTAGAATTATAAAAACTCCTGTTCAAAGAATTTATAACAATGAAATACATTAATACTTATTGTTGTATATTTATAAGTAAATCTGGCTTCAAATGCATATAGTTGAATTTTTTGACAATAGGATAACTATCTAAATAAAAATTACAATTCGCAATTCATTTGAACTGAATTTGTGTAATATTTTAATAAAAAATCTTTAATATTTTAAAATACAATATAATATTGAATAGACTGAGAATGCTAATATTTCTAATATTTGTATTGTATTTTACAATAACTTGAATTTCAATATATTTTTATCACCTTGACATGAAGTGCAGTATATTCATTCTTTCCTGATGCATCATACTATTGATCGTACTATTTTATAGTTTATCAAATATATATATTCAGAAGCTTTTAAAAGAGCAATAAAAATATCGAATTCATTTTTGTACCACCAAAGTATATATACTGAAACTAAAATAAGCTACTATAATTTATACGTACTATAATTTAAGGTTTTAGATTTCCTGTCAAATAGCTTGTTATTCTCAATAGCTATACATTTAGTATGAATGCGTGAGAATAAAAACTTGCAACTGTCTTATGCATCAGATAATTTACTGCGTTCCATTAAGGTTAGGACAAAATTATATATCAGGATTAGAGTAATAGGTAAGTATCAGTGGGATTATGAATTCTTCTATACAAAGAGGTCAAGAATTTTTGAGATAAATCACTTAATAATGATAACAACTGTTCATGTGTAAACTAAAATTTGTATGATTAAATAAACTTTATTATTAATAAAAACAATAAATTTGGCTTATCTCAATGCATTATTCTATATTCAGGTGCGGTTTTAGAGTTTTTTTATCATAATAAACCTGAATTGATATTATAAAGTAGATTTCTCACACTATGCTATAAGTATAAATAGGCTTTAAGAGTTTTAGATTTACTGTATGAATCACTATTTTTCTTCTTTGTTGGTTTGGTCAATTTATTATTATAAACCTACTAACAAAACCAATCAACAAAACCAACTAAAATCTACTAACGAATCTGTTAATGAATCATTAATGAACTTAAAAAATAATAAAAAAAAATTAAGTACTGATCATTAATAACCATAAATTTTTTTAAAAAATTTTATTGAAACCTTTTTAATGAGTTTTCGAAGTTGCTTATATAGTATCCCTAAATCCTTTAAGTTAATGAAAATATTAGAATTTTACTATAAAAAAGCTTATAATATGGATGACCATAACCATAATAAAGACAGTATAATAGTTCCCAATGATTTAGTTTCTACATTGGTTAGATCAGAAATATCAGAATCAATTACCGATGAATCGACTAATTCACAAAAATATAAATCTCCTGTCTGGACATATTTTTCTTTATTAAAAAGTGAACAAAAGGCTAAGTGTAATTATTGTAATACTAAACTTAGCTATAAAAAAGGCAATAGAATATTTCACCTTCGATGTCATCTCAAATCATGCAACAAGTATCAAAAATCAGTATCTAATAGTGATTCATCAAATTTGCCAGAAAGTCAAATACAATAAGATCTTAATTTATTTGTTAAACGACCTTTGAAAGTTTCAAGAGAAAAGACATAGTTGATATGATAATTAGAGATGAGCTAAGTTTTCAGTTTGTAGAGAAACCAGATTTTCAAAATTTTCTTAATGGAGTATTACCTAATTTTGCTATTAGTGCTGATACAGTAAAGCAAGATATTATGAATGTCTATGATAAAAGAAAAGCTTTTATTAAAAGTCCTTCAAAATGTGAATAGTAAAATCTCTTTGACTTGTGATATTTGGATATCACTTCAGCAGCTTGAATATTTAGTGATTACTGTATATTTTATTGATAAAAACTGGAATCTTGTTTTTATTTTACTATCGTTTAAATTGATCCCCAATTTCCATTTTGGAGTTAATATTGCCAATTGTATTAAAGTTGAAATGGATGAGTATTTAATTACTAATAAGATAAATTACGTAGTAGTACATATTTCGGAATCAGCAAATCATATATTTTTCTGCAAAAATTTAAATATATGCATATAAATTTCTTATACTGTAAAATAATGCTTGAGTATTATTTTGTAACAAAAATTTAACACTATATTGATATCTTTCTATTTATAGTTACAAACTATTACCCTTGATAATGCAAGTTCAAATGATGTTGCAATTTATGAATTAATCAATTATATTTTCTAAAATTCATCTGATATTAGTGAAGACCTTTTTCATAATCACTATTTTGCACATATCTTAAATCTTATCATGAAGGATAGTTTAAAAAAAAATTTAGGAGCAATCAGCAAGGTAATTATATAAGTGCCATCAAGAGAAAATTTGCAAATCTTACCTAATAAGATTTGCAGATTTCTCTTGGTGGCGCATATATATTATTTGTTTTTAATCTAACAATTCTTTTAAAATTGATTTGATTTTTTAGATTCATAACTGTGTTAAAGCAATACATTCAACTCCAAGATGTCGCTAAACATATTTAGATATTTGTGAATATGAATCTGAAAATTCTATAATCCCACCATTAGATTGTGATACCTGTTGAAACTCTACTTATACAATATTAAAATCAACTATAAAAATGAAGAATGTGATTATTTGAATGGGTGATCATAATTGAACTTTTTCTGATATATCTACAAAAGATGAATAGACAAAGGCAGATAATATCTGTACTATTTTAAAACCATTCTATGATTGTATGTTATTTATTATACTAAATAAATTTTATAGATTTTTTGCTTTTTTTTATTTTATTATTTATT